ACCGAGAGGGAAGGCACTGAGCCAGAGCTTCCTCCCCTGTCAATCTGCAACCAGCGCAACTCAATGCAGACCGTGAGCTCCTCATCGTTGTCCGCCTCTGCCTCACGCGGTAATGACTACCAATCGATGGCGTTGTCGCCGCCGGATCTGCCATCAAACGCAGTGCTGCCATAGCTCAACATGGGGGTCGAGATGGGAGTGGACGGGGGCAAAAGGACACGAAAAGTGGAGTGTGCAGTGGATAGTGTTGTTTGACCGAGGTCTAGGGTTCATCCGAGTAGGAATATTTGTGGGGTTCTGGTGGGCAAGCATGGGCTAGTCCGACATGGTAGACACGTTCGGGCCTCCCATACCCGCCTAGATTTGGGTTGGGTGTGAAGGGTGTCGGTCAGTCCGGACATACAAAGCCACTTTGGGAAGGCCTATTGGGTCATATTTTCAGACTGGGCACTGGCCCGGACGTCCATCCGATTAGTTTGAGGAGTCTAATTATAGATGCTCTTAGAGGAAGGCAGAATTTTTGCTTGATTAGACACCAATCATGTAGAGATAAGCATTGATTTTTTGAAAAGAAAATGGGGGGAGAATTTCCCATCTGAATTATATTCATTGATTTTTTTAAAATAAAAAATGGGGGGAGGGCTTTGCATCTTCAAGTGAACCAAAGGCCCAATGGACATAAGGGAGTAGAGATAAAGCAAAAAAACAACACACACACACACATATCGAAAGCACACATAGTAGGGGAAAACAAAGAGGAAAAACACAACACAAACACAACAAACACTACAAGAAATATGTCAACTAGCGACCTTCTGTCAGTGACCCTGGAAGAATTGGTCATAGATCTATGACCATTTCAGACCAATTGGTCAAAAGCTGTTCGGGGGGCTCCAAACCCTAAACTATAACGACCATTTTGGTCAGAAAGGTCGTAATTTTCTTACACGAAATGGTCATAAAGCAGATAGCACTGGTCCGCTGCCTTATTTCTAGCTAATCATGACCAATATAGATGGTCAAAACCTTGTAAATTGTGGTGGGTTGCTATGACTAGGCGCCATCTCATCAATTTTGCCTATGTGTCATGTCCATGTGGCAGTTTTTGCCCTAGGTTGTGAATCAACCTATATTTCCGTCATTTCCAAAATTCCCAAAAAAATCTCATAAATTCTTTGGGTCATATCTTCATAAATTATGTAAAAAAACCTTCCTTTCCTAGTTCAAAAATAATTCAAAAATATTCATTTTCCTATTTTGTTCAGAAAAACACTTTGTGAAGGAAGTACCACTTTGGCATGTCCAAATGGTATCCATTTTCTACAGTGCTTTCCTATGCCCAAATAACCATCCTCCACCAAATGCCAGCTCAATCCATTCATTATATTGAGCCCAGCTTCAACATTCGTATTTATGTCCAGTGTTGTACTTTGCAAAGCAAGTACCACCTAGGCTCCTCCTTTTGAGCTAAAAATTATGAAGATGATCTTCTTAGTAACTGGTCATCCTCAGCCAAAACTCACACCCATTAGCCATGTGCATTTCCTGTACCGCTAATCAAACACTTGGCTGCTTATTCATGTTTGAGCATCGATCGGTCTCCTCGTGTGAATCTTATGTTGTGATTTTCTTCCTAGCACCTACCTGGGGAGTGCCCAACCCACTAGACATGCCTAGGCCGCCCAGAACGCATGGCAACGCCACGGTCACGCGGTGACCATGCGGCGGGCATGCGAGTTTACGCGCTCTAGAGTTGGGACCCTCGTCCACCATCCAAACCTCGACGTATCGCCACCAAATCATGTATTTATGATTAAATAGGTACTTATATAACTAGAAATGATTTTTGGAAAAAATAAATAGCAAATTATGAGGCAGCTGCATTTCAAATTTGACTCGCTTCCTATTGAATCGGCAGGAATTTGTCTTTTTCACCAGAGGTGGATCAAAACTTTTGAAACCCAACCATTTTGTCAATTGTGCATTACATATGGCCTAGTATTTTATAAAATTGATTAGGTCCAATTTTTCAACAAATATATGGTAGGTCCTTCACAAAAAAACTCATTTCAGGCACTCGGAAAATGGAAAATGATTTTTCCGTGCAAAGAAAATGAAAAATCTCTTAGGCAACATTGTTTGGAATTCGAAGATGCACCCTTATGCACAATATGAGATCATTTGAACAAACTATGGCATGAATGTGGCCATAAGATTGATCATTTGGCTTGAAAGCCATGAATCTTCACGCATGATAACTCATTTTTTAGAACACTTTTTTAAAATAATTTCCGAATTACAAGTTTATTATTTTTCCTCGAAACTTGGTCACATATAATGACACAATGCGAAGGTTTTCCAATTTTTTGATTTTTTTGATTTTTTATGCCCGTTTCAAAATGCGGTCAAAACGGCGGGCTTGACCGTTCCTAGCTAGAGGTTGAATCTTGGAAATTTTTTGATGTTTCTCTGATTAAATAGATACTTATGTACCTAGAAATGATTTTTGGAAAAAATAAAGAGCAAACTATGAGGCAGTTGCAGTTCAAATTTGACCCGCTTCCTACTGAATCGGCGGGAATTTGTCTTTTTCACCATAGGTGGATCAAAACTTTTAACACCCAACCATTTTGTCAATTGTGCATTAAATATGTCCTAGTATTTTATAAAATTGATTAGGTCCAATTTTGCAACAAATATATGGTAGGTCCTTCACAAAAAATACTCAATTCGGGCACTCGGAAAATGGAAAATGTATTTTTCGTGAAAAGAAAATGATAACTCCCTTAGGAAATATTGTTTGGAATTCCAAGATGCACCCTTGTGTGCAATATGAGATCATATGAACAAACTATGCCATGAATGTGGCTATAAGGTTGATCATTTGGCTTGAAAGCCATGAATCGTCATGCATGATAGCTCATTTTTTAGAACATTTTTTTAAAAAGGATTGCCGTATTACAAGTTTATTATTTTTCCTGGAAACTTGGTCACATATAATGACACAATGCGAAGGTTTTCCATTTTTTTGATTTTTATTTGAATTTTTTATGACCGTTCCAAAATGCGGTCAAAACAGCGGGCTTGACCGTTCCTAGCTAATGGTTGAATCTTGGAATTTTTTTGGTGTTTCTCTGATTAAATATATACTTTTGTACCTAGAAATGATTTTTGGAAAAAAGAAAGAGCAAACTATGAGGCAGCCATAGTTCAAATTTGACCCTCTTCCACCTGAATCAGCGGAAATTTGTCTTTTTCACCAGAGGTGGATCAAAACTTTCTACACCCAAAAATTTGGTCAATTGTGCATTAAATATGGCCTAGTATTTTAGAAAAATGATTTCGTCCAATTTTGCAACAATTATTCGGTAGGTTCTTCAAAAAAAACCTCATTTGGGGCACTCGAAAAATGGAAAATGATTTTTTCGTCCAAAGAAAATGAAAATTTCCTTAGGCAACATTGTTTGCCATTCCAATATGCACCCTTGTGTGCAATATGAGATCATATGAACAAACTATGCCATGAATGTGGCTATAAGGTTGATCATTTGGCTTGAAAGCCATTGATCTCCACACATGATAACTCGTTTCTGAGAACACTTTTTAAGAGAATTGTCGTATTGTAAGTTTATTATTTTTCCTCGTAACTTGATCACATATAATGACACAATGCGAAGGTTTTCCAATATTTTGATTTTTTTGGAATTTTTATGCCCGTTTCAAAATGCGGTCAAAACGGCGGGCTTGACCGTTCCTAGCTAGTGGTTGAATCTTGGAAAACTTTTGATGTTTCTTTGATTAAATAGATATTTATGTACCTAGAAATGGTTTTTAGAAAAAATAAAAAGCAAACCATGAGGCAGCGGCAGTTCAAATTTGACCCATTTCCAACTGAATCAGCGGAAATTTGTCTTTTGCACCAGAGGTGGATCGAATCTTTTGACACCCAACCATTTGGTCAATTGTGCATTAAATATGTCCTAGTATTTTAGAAAATTGATTTGGTCCAATTTTGCAACAAATATATTATAGGTCCTTCACAAAAAAAACTCATTTTGGACACTCAGAAAATGAAAAAATGATTTAAGAGAACTCATTTCTCATAACTCTTTAAAAAATATTTGTCTTATTTCAATTTGTGATTATTCCTGAAAACTATAGTCAAATTTGCTAACACAATGAGAAGTTTTTTTTTCATATTTTCAGGTCATAATAAAATAGCTAACATGATTTAGCACCTTACTTTTAGTCAATTACGACCAATTTAAATGGTCAAAATATCATACCTATATACTGCGTTCTGATTGGTCCAAGGGCCTCTCACGCGGATCATGGATAAATCACCGTCGGATCCTCCTGGATCCAACGCACTCACCTCACCCTCTCACAGTCTCACCCACCCACCGCGAGCTACCCCTAAAAAAAGACCCACCACACACCACTCCGCTCTCTCCTCGCGCAGCGAACCCTAGCGCTCTCACCCTCTCCCTCTCTCTGGATCCATCGCCGCCGCACACCACTCCTCCTTCTGGATCCCCCACCGCCGCCCCCAACCTCCCTCCCTCCCTCTAGATCTCGACACGCCGCCGCCCCCACCCCACTCCTCCAGCGTCCCCCCACACGGTCACCGCTCGGCCCTCCCCATTGCACTCCCGATCCAGATCCCTTCCCTCCCCACTCTCAGATCCAACTGGCCCGAGACGGAGTCCGTTGTGGACATGGTCGCCACCACCGACCGTGAGTGGGGGTCCTGGTCCTCTCCCTCGTCGTCCTCGGCGGCGGCATCTGGCTGAGCCACCGAGCCGCCACCACCGACTGTGAGCGGTTCCTGGAGTGTCTGGTCATCGCGCTAGAGGCGCTGCTCCTGGCGCTCTCCCTCACGGGGCTCACGGGGTCGCTGTGGCGGACGGCCTCCTCCCCTGCATCGCCTCCCTCCGCCCTCGCGTTCCGATTCTAATCCATCCTCGCGGGGCAGATCTAATCCGATCCAGGGCGCCGCCATGATGCAGCACCACCACCAGCTGGACCAGTGGCTCGCCGGCGGCGGCGTTGGCGGCGTGCTCCGGCCAACCAAGTCCGCACACTTCTCCCCTGTCAAGCCGGTGGCGGTGTACATGCTGCGGACGCACTCTGACTCCTTCCACGTCGCCCACAAGGTCCCCGTCGGTGATACCCCCTACGTCTGCGCCAAGCGCGTCCAGGTGTGTCCTTGTACAGGAGCTTTTTTTTCTGTCTGCGATTTGAATTTGCTGATGAGCGGGGCTGACGGGGGTGGCTATGTTGTGACGGATGGCTGCTTGTGGACAAGGACCCGGAGAAGGCGATTGCGCTATTCTGGGGCGCCATCAACGTGGGCGACCGCGTGGACAGCGTACTCAAGGACATGTCCATTATGATGAAGCAGCAGAACCACGCCGGGGAGGCCATTGAGGCCATCAAGTCGCTCCGCGTCCGCTGCTCCAACCAGGCGCAGGAGTCGCTCGACAAGCTGCAGGCCTCCCTCCCTCCCTCCCTCCCTGATGGCTCCAGGAACCCTAGATGGCCATGGTGAGACTGCAGGAGGTCAGACCCCTCCTCTCATTCTCTTCTTCTTCTTCTTCTTCTTCTTCTTCTTCTTCTTCTTCTTCTTCTTCTTCTTCTTCTTCTTCTTCTTCTTCTTCTTCTTCTTCTTCTTCTTCTTCTTCTTCTTCTTCTTCTTCTTCTTCTTCTTCTTCTTCTTCTTCTTCTTCTTCTTCTTCTTCTTCTTCTTGTATCTCTGGTTTTTTTCCTCTCCACATCTCATCTGATGTAGGCGTGTGTGTGTTCGGTCATGTGCAGGCACTGTCCTCCCATCTCATCTCCCTTGGTGGTGAAGGTAGGAGGCCATGGAGACGGAAGCTGCTGCCCTCCCATCTCATCTCCCTCCTTCGCGGTGAAGGAAGGAGGCCATGGAGAGAGAAGATGCTGGGGATGCCGATGCCGATGCTGATTCAAGAGGAGAGCCATGGAAGGTCCTCTCCTTTCCTCTATCTTGTTCGCTTGAGTCCTGTTTCCGTCTTCTCCATTCAAACATGTTCTTCCCGATTTAGACATCTACAGTGTACTAATATGGTATTTTGGTCATTTATGGAGTTGAAGAAAATGTGCAAGGAGGGCGCATATTAGGGTAACCAAGTAGAAGCGTATTACTCTGTTGTTTTATTTGGCTGATATAAATGCATTGGCGTCAAATACTCATCCGTTTCTTCTTATGTTCGCTAACACATTCGGATGCTTCTTCTGTTAATCTGCAGGTGTTGTTGCTGGAGTGTATGTAGGCATGGAGTATGGAGTGGAAAGGGTCCGCGGAGAGTATGACTGGGTAATGATGCTATGAATATGGATCTTTCATGCTTCTTGCACTTACCTGAACCTTGGTGAAGGAATATCTATCTGCATGACTTCCTCTGCCCATTTGACAATGGAGTTCCTTTATTTAGTTTGACTAAGATTCTTTGCTAATGAGTGTACAAGAAGAATCAATCTGATTCATTACATCTTATAAATCATGATGCGAGTTTTTACTTCTGTCTCCACACCCTCTTGTAAGATTATTGTTTGAGTTAAGTTCACCGAACAATACTGGATGCAGTAACACCCAAGCAATTATTATAGAGGGAGGGAGGGAGGTGGCATCCCAAATCATACCTGTCTATGATATGATTGGGAGGGAATATACTGACTGCTACTGTTACACTGTCTTGTTGATTTCTTTTAACAATCATACCTAGCTAAAATCTTCTTGTCCACAGCAGAGCAGCCTCATCCTCTTCATGCTGGCTCAACTGCCTTTGATTCTTCCTATTTGCTTCCTTGCCTTCCAGATGCGGCAGCTCAAGGGCGAGGTCGACATCTTCTCCAGGGCCGACGGGTCGGCGCTGTTCGAGATGGGCAACACCAGGATATGATCTACTAGAACATTTTTTTTGCTGTTCAAACGTTTAAATTCTAGTTCTTTGTTTCAAACATCTAAATGTTGTTTAATTTGTCCTTCTATGCTTAAATGATAAAAATGTCGCATTTATAGGATTGTAAACCTGATGTGATTGGAGTAGTATTTACTTGCTGCTGATAGTAACTACTTGTATCCACTGATTTCTATGCCTCATTTTGCTTGTTTTACTTTATTTATGCACACAAACTGCCTACAGGTTAATGTGCTTTTAGATTTGCCTTTATTTTGCTCCTTACCATATTGTTTGATAACTTGCAGATGTTGTACTTCATTTGTGTTTCGTCGTGGGCTCCAAGAAGTGAAGAAGCATTGAGTTATAGCTCATTGGAGCTAGTTATACTTTGATAGATAGTTATATTTTGATATTTAGTTGTGTTCTTGGTGGCTGTAAACCTGATGTGAAGTATGTTCGATTATAAACATGGTGTATGTTTGATTGTGAGGTGCCAAATTTGGTTTTTTGATTTGTTGAAGTATCACTTATGTTTTCAGCCAGTTCTGATTTAAATATTTGTTTCTATTTACTGGAAAATCAAAATTTGAAGAACATGACTCTGACCATTGGGACCCACTCAAACCCATATGACTATTGGATGTGTCTTAAAAAATGTAACTAAAAAAAGAAATATAACTGTTGAGCCAAAAAGGCCATGGCCCAAAAACGAAAGGCCCAATTGTTGGGTCAGGCCAATGTAGAAATCGAAACTATTAGAAAAAATAACACATTAAATGGGTTGGATTAATGGTTTCGGCCCATATAGACACCTAATCGGACTGGGCTGATTTTTGTCAATGACCTTTCCATTTGGTCATAATTTTGCCACGTCAGCTTGCCACGTCGGATCCAACGTGGCCTGGGCAGACAGCTAGTGACCAAAACAAACAGTAGGCATATTTTGGTTCTAAACATCTACGACCTTCTCACAGAGAAGGTCGTTAATTTCAGTTTACGACTGTCAGCTTTTGACCATCTGTTTTTGGTCACAAAAAGGTCACAAATGGAAAATAATGACCATTCAGTGATCAACAGTCAAGGTCACAAGTTCACATATTTCTTGTAGTGAAAAAGCACCGCTGGTGTAAACAAATGGCATCAGCCATCCGAGTCCAAACCATGACACTACATCATCGACGCAATTGAAAGGCTCCGTGCATCTTAAATTGCACAACGTCGGGACACCAGATGTGTCATGGGGCACATTTGAAGGGTGATGCGAGGCCATGACGACACCACAGCACTTGTGTGCCACCGGCATAGTCGAGAGGCATCGTCTAGCAGACAAAACCACTGACTGCATAGTCAACGAAATCAAAAGGTGATGCGCATCCAAGACGCCCAACGTCGGGATACCACCTGTATCGAGGGTACATTTAAAAGGAGCACAAGGGCGAGATGATGCCATCACTACAGGAATGAGGCACTTTGCCGTCAGCCAACAGGTCTGGCTGAATAGGCTACGACAAAGGCCTCTTTGCCGTCTGCTGGCTGACGGCAAAGCTGCAAAGGGCTTTGCCGTCTGCCGACAGACGGCAAAGAGCCTGGACAGCACACGTTGGCAGTTCAGGTCCGTTAAGTGGTTAACATTGTGCTTTCATCAGCCATCAGATGGCAAAGGCCTTTGCATCGTTGTCGTCAACCTTCTAACTAAGGTAGGTAAAAATGCCATTTTTTAGCTAAGGTAGGTAAAATACTAAGTGTGTAGGTCATTTTAGAGCTAAGCTTGGTAAACAGGTCATTTTGGAGCTAACCTACGTAGTTATGCCATTTTTTGAGCTAACTAAGCATATTTATTCATTTTGTAGGACAAAATGGAAGTGTATGTCATTTTAGAGCTATCCTAATTAAAATCGGTCATTTTGGAGCTAGGTAAGGTTGTTTTGTCATTTTGGAGGAAAATAAACTAATTATATGATAGTTTGGAGCTAAACCAAGGTTATTATGTCATTTTTTACCTAAGTGCATTAATTATGTCATAAATGAAGTAGCTAAGCTAATTATAGATCATTATTGAGCTATCCTAGGTTGTTATGCCATTTTTTACCTTAGTGAGCTCATTATGTCATAAATGAACTAGCTAAGCTAGCTATAGATCATTATTGAGCTATCCTAGGTTGTTATGCCATTTTCTAGCTAACAAAACATTTGTTAAACAAAACACTTGGGAAAACTTACCATAATCCGGGAGGTGAAGGACCGATCGGGGTTGGCCCATTGTGAGACATAGAAGGATCGGTCGATCCTTTGTGGGAGGCGTGCTGCATGAACGATCATTTGCAATGATTAGTTAGCATGATGCAACTGAAAATGTGAATACTAGTAACTAATGACCATTCAAATGAAACTCACTGTGTCCGCTATAGCAATCTGGGGCATCGGCGGAGGGGTTTGGCCGGTTTTCTCGCACACGGACTGCACATTTTGTTTTCACGAGTTAGTCATATTAGTTAGTACTGAAATGAACATTACATGCATGATTTGGCTAGTATGCGGGAGAAACTTACCACGAGGATATCGTATAGGGCCCAGTGACCCGTGTCGTTCTGGTTCCTCTCCACCTCCAACAGATTAGTCGTCCTCTCCTCCATCTCCCTCACCCTCTCTGCCGCCTGCCTGGTTGCCTCCACCACAAGCTCCTGGGACCTAGCCTTGGTAACGAGCTCCATTGGCCATGGTCGAGGCCTCATCTCGGGAAGAGACTTCGTCTGCGCTTCTTGATCTCCGGGAGACTTCTAGGACAACGTATGAGTCCATCACCAATGGCTACTGAGCCATGTTTCCTCCCCTCACTAGATAGCATCACGAGCTCAGGATCAAAAGTACTCTGACTCGGGTTGAAGTCCTCACCTTTCATCTTCTTCCCCTAGTCTCTGTACCTCACAAGCTTGTCGTGGAGGAGATGTTGGTGAAGATCTCTGGATGATCGAGGTCATCCTCTGAGAATGCCTTGGCCTTCTTCTACGGGGCACTATGGGCCATGGCATAGAGGTCTGATACATCTCCAACGTATCTACTTTTTCAAACACTTTTGCCCTTGTTTTGGACTCTACTTTGCATGATTTGAATGAAACTAACCCGGATTGACGTTGTTTTCAGCAGAACTGCCATGATGTTGTTTTATGTGTAGAAAAGAAAAGTTCTTGGAATGTCCTGAAAATCTACGGAGGCACTTTTTGGAATTAATAAGAATTTCTGGGCGATAGAAATACATCAGGGGGCCCATGGCCTGTCCACGAGACAGGGGCGCCCCCTTAGGGCGCCCCTTATCTCGTGGGCCCCCTAGACCTCCACCTACGTCAACTCCAACTCCATATATTCCGTCTCACAGAGAAAAAAATCAGAGAGAAAGTTTCATCGCGTTTTACGACACGGAGCCGCCGCCAAGCCCTAATCTCTCTCGAGAGGGCTGATCTGGAGTCTGTTCGGGGCTCCGGAGAGGGGGATTTGTCGCCGTCGTGATCATCAACCATCCTCCATCACCAATTTCATGATGCTCACCGCCGTGCGTGAGTAATTCCATCGTAGGCTTGCTGGACGGTGATGGGTTGGATGAGATTTACCATGTAATCAAGTTAGTTTTGTTAGGGTTTGATCCCTAGTATCCACTATGTTATGAGATTGATGTTGCTATGACTTTGCTATGCTTAATGCTTGTCACTAGGGCCCGAGTGCCATGATTTCAGATCTGAACCTATTATGTTTTCATGAATATATGTGTGTTCTTGATCCTATCTTGCAAGTCTATAGTCACCTATTATGTGTTATGATCCGACAACCCCGAAGTGACAATAATCGGGATACTTCTCGGTGATGACCGTAGTTTGGGGAGTTCATGTATTCACTATGTGCTAATGCTTTGTTCCGGTTCTCTATTAAAAGGAGGCCTTAATATCCCTTAGTTTCCGCTAGGACCCCGCTGCCACGGGAGGGTAGGACAAAAGATGTCATGCAAGTTCTTTTCCATAAGCACGTATGACTATTTACGGAATACATGCCTACATTACATTGATGAACTGGAGCTAGATCTGTGTCACCATATGTTTTAGCTATTACATGAGGAATCGCATCTGGCATAATTATCCATCACTGATCCATTGCCTACAAGCTTTTCATATATTGTTCTTCGCTTATTTACTTTTCCGTTGCTACTATTACAACTACTACAAAAACCCAAAAACATTTATCTTTACTTTTGCTACTGTTACCATTATTATCATACTACTTTGCTACTAAATACTTTGCTGCAGATACTAAGTTATCAGGTGTGGTTGAATTGAAAACTCAACTGCTAATACTCAAGAATATTCTTTGGCTCCCCTTGTGTCGAATCAATAAATTTGGGTTGTACTTCACCCTCGAAAGCTGTTGCGATCCCCTACACTTGTGGGTTATCAAGACCAATTTCTGGCGCCGTTGCCGGGGAGCATAGCTCTATTATCTGAGTCACTTAGGATTTATATCTGTTGATCACTATAAGAACTTGAAAGACGCTAAAACCAAGATTTTGCCCTCAACTACGAGGGGAGGTAAGGAACTGCCATCTAGTTGTGCACTAGATTCTCCTTCCGTTATTAGCAGGCTTGCGACACCTAAACCTGCTACTGCTATGAATTCTGATATGTCGCATGTTATTGATGATGCCACTTCTGCTATGCATGATGAAACTACTTTTGTGCGTGATACTACTTTGCCATTAGGTGAATTTCTAGATGAACAACTTGCTAGAGTTAGGGGGAATGAAAATATTGAAGATGTTATTATTGATGATAGTGATGATGAACGTTCTCCCAATGATTATGTATTGCCTGTTGTTCCTAAGGGTTATATTATGAATGAAGAAGCTGCTAGGGAAATATTTGCTTGCAATGATAGATATGATCTTAAGAAATTATTAGCTAAATGGAAGCAGCAGTCTCTTAATGCTAGAATGAAACTCGACCCTGCTTTTTCTACTT